ATATATATATATATATATATATATGATTATTATTGATTTTTTATTTATTTTTGCAACAAAATAATTATTTAAATTTGTCAATGATTCGAATTGTAATAGCTCGTAAAATTCAGAATTTTCCTTTAATCGTTAGAATCAATTAATACGTGATTATAATAAATTTTAAATCGTACGGCTTATATTGTTAATCTATATATATTCAAACATCAAATTTAAAATCCCGTTGAACTTTATAAGCTTCGCACATTTGTACTTTTTCCACTTAAATCAAAGACTATTGTACTTGAAACATTTTCACGTTTGAGCGATTTCCCTTTAAAAACGCATAGAAAAATCAAATTTAGAAAGACATTTTTTTTCTTTAATGAAGATTGCAGTCATTCGAGTCGGAAAGTGCAATCATTTAATACAAGATAAAACATTGTAAGCTTAACTATAATGGTTTCTCATAATTTATGCTAAAAATTCTTTAGTTTATTCATAATTTAGAAGTAATAAGACATTAGTTGAATAAATTGAAAGAAAATTGATTGTTTCATTTATTGTGCTTTTATTTTTGTCGCTTATTGATACTTAGTTATTAAATATTTTAAAAATTATTAGTATTTCTTTATAATTGTATATCGTGGAAGCAGACAGTAATATGTAAAAAGTTCTATAGTACATGTTTTGACATTAATTTATAATATTAAAAATTTTTTTAAATTTACTTTAAAACAGTATTAAATATTTTAATTTCTTTATGAGAATGAACTTTTAATAAAATCTTACAATTCTGTCTAATTTAATAACTCAATAACTTTTTAGAATGTTTATTACAATTTGCAAATTTCATAGGAGCTTTTTCATTATATACATACATGTTATTTCGATCAATTTTACGTATGTCAATAAAATTTAATTGTATTGAATTTGATATCTATGTCCTTTATATATATAATAATTATTATTATTATTATCTGTAACTTTTGACAAGTATTTTTAAGTTACTCTTAAAACATGACTTTGATAAACATATTAAGTTTTAATTAAGTAAAATAGCTTAATGTTATGTTAGCATTATCATTAATATGTTAATATACGGTGTCCCAAAACTTTTGCTCAATCAACAAACAAATGCATTTAAGGTGTTTCAAATTTATTATTTTCATTTACTTCGTATTACAATAATTAGTTATATTTACAATTCGAATGGATCTCGTTACATTTTTAAAAGAACGGTCTCGAATTACAAGTTTTCGAAACATCATTATACGAATAATTGACTTGCAATGAAAGTTTGTACCTTCATTAATGTGCATACAATTGTCAATCAATTATTTCTTTAAATTAATCGCAATTCACCTCACGTTTCGATCCCTCTATTTTCATCTCGTCGTTACAAGATTACGCAACGTATGCTATAATTATTAATTAATATTTTGTGTATTTCACGTTTTTTTTATTACAAGGCTGTCGAGTCACGCATTTCTAATGGCTAATCCTTTTCAAGAGGTCCATATACACAATCATTATTTTTCTTACCTCTTTCAAGAATCCGGCCAAATTATATATATATACATACATATATATATATATATATATATATATATATATATATATATATATATATATATAATATATACTTTTTCGATACTCTCTATAATACTGCATTAAATTCACTGACTCGATCAGCTTGTATTTTGAGACTGAGAATAATGGAATTTGACATTCTGAAATCCATCCATCCTATTTCTGTTTTGTGTGTGTGTGTGTGTGTGTGTGTGTGTGTGTGTGTGTGTGTGTGAGATGTTAGTTTTCTCGTCTATTTGACTCTCACTTTAATTATTGTACTTCATAATACACAATACGAACCATAGATCATACCATTTTCTTTAAATTTATAAATTTATTATATATATATACATTGTTTGTTAATCGATATACTTAATGTAATTATCGTTAATGACAATTCGCTGTGATCTTGTAGAGATATCTCTATTAATTGCAATGATGCTCCTCATATATAAAACTGAACTTTAAAATCTTTAATTTCTGTACGTAGCATCGAAATTGTTTGTTATTTATCATTTTTATTTACCTTGTATATAAATAACGTACAATAAAACGTTGTAATTCTCAATTAGGCAAATAAATAATGTACGTGACTTAATTTGAGATAAGGACACGGGATAAAAGTATAGACAGAGTAAAAATACACGTCACAAAAAATGAAAGAAATCAAAGATTTACGCGAAAAGACGCCTGATCGGATCCTGCCAGATCGGCACACTTTCTGTATGTCTCTCTTTCTCTCCATCGTCGACTTGCAATTATAAATTAAGCGATTACAATGGAAAAAAATAATCCAGAGTCGAGGTGTAAAAATTTTCTTGAAATAAACAAGGCGAAAATCAAGTAATTAAAGGTAGAGAAGGAGAGAGAGAGAGAGAGAGAGGGAGAGAGGGAGAGAGGGAGAGAGAGAGAGACAGAGAGGAAAAGAGAGAATGAGTGACAGGGAGGATGGGAGGAAGGGAGGAAGAGAGAATGAGAGAATGAGAGGGAGAGAGAAAGAGAGGAAAAAAGAGAATGAGTGACAGGGAGGATGGGTGGAAGGGAGGAAGAGAGAGAGAGAGAGAGAGAGAGAGAGAGAGAGAAAGGAAAAGAGAGAATGAGTGATAGGGAGGATGGGTGGAAGGGAGGAAGAGAGAATGAGAGGAAGAGAGAGAGAGAGAGAGAGAGAGAGAGAGAGTAAGTTATATAAAGTAATCGTTTGGGGAAGGATGAACGCACAATAATAATAATAAACTACATGACTAGATATGATTGCTCTTATATGCGATAAGTAGCCTTTGTCCATTCCCTCGGTGATCTCTTTCTGTTTCGGCTGTGACTGCAAGGAAGGAGGAGCAATGTATTAGCGCGACGTTCGTAGCAGTTACGACCAACGGCACCGGAGGTGCCGCGAATAGGATGAAAACGATGATGATGTACAGTTGAGTTGCGGCTAGACTTCGGTGGTACGGCCGTAAGGGACGGCTTGTCCGGGTACCGATACAGTCCCAGCCGCCAAGGACACTGTCGTCGGGTCCTCGGTGTGGGAGAGCTTGCGCTCGCGCTTATTGAAGAGGCTGCCAAGGAAGGAGGGCTGCTGGGCTATAGACGTGCTCTTGGTACCGCCTGGAATCGCGGTCCCAGGATGTAGTCCGTGAACGAGCATTTGATGTCCTCCCGCCATCGTTACTCCCTTTGCGCCCTGGCTCATTGAGCTCGCGGACGTCGATTGAAACGATATTGACATGCCGCTGTCCAGGGAGCCGACGCTACCTCGGCGCTGCGGTTTTTCGCCAGCGACTGTAAATTTAAAAATTTAGTCTCTTAAGCCACTATACATTATTTTTCTCTCTTTTTTCATTGCTTGTTTTTTTTTTTTTTTTTTTTTTTTTTTTTTTTTTTAAATCCTTTTGGCTCGTTTAATAGTCGATGTATAAGCAATCGTGGGAAAATAAAAAATTTCACTCAATGTAATAGTTGGAACATCGCTCGACGACAATCACAGACAAGAAAAATAAGACCATGAAACGTCGTATTCTCGTTTAATCTCTCGCAAATAACGAATAATTAAAGAGAGCGCATCAGCTCCAAGTGGAAAGGTAATGTTTATCTTATAATAATGGCTAATTGATGGCGTTGTCGCGTAAGCATTATTGGATTATCCTTATACAGATACTCGTTGTACGCCGATGATTATATGTAAGGTGGAGAGCGGATGCTCGAGGCTTCTTACATTGTTCGTGTATGTCGAGTAGCGAGTTGCTTAGCGCGGATCGCTTGAGCTGCGAGTCCATGTCGATGACCTCGGACCTCTCGGAGCAAGGACCCGGATACGGGCAAACCTCAACGTCCGCGACACCGGAGTCGCGATTCTCGGTGCTGCTGCGCGTGCCCCTGCTGCTCTTCTGCCTCTCTAGCTCCGTTTCTATTCTCAGCGTCTCCATCTCGTCCATCTCGCTGATGGACTCCCTGAGGTCCTCCACGAACTTGCAGCGGTCGTGCTCGTTACGAGCGTTGAACGTGACTAGTACCTTATTGTCGACGCGCTGCGTGAGTCGAATGCCGTAAGGATAATCTGAAGAACGGCGCGAGGTCGACGAGAGGCATTAAAATGTGGCATTAGAAAGGGAGCTCGTCAAGTCTAAATATTAGTGAAATTACTAGTGAAACGTGGGGGTTACTTACGAGAGACCTCGAACAGCGTGACGACCATACCGCAAAGTGGGAAGCTCTGCCTGAAGGTGTAGGTGACGCTGCTCTTTTTCTTGCTGAGTATCTTGGTGACGACGAGGAGATCGTTGAAGAGAAAGACCTCGCGCTGGTGGACGCCCGGTCGCTCCTTCTTGTGGATGTCGGGTATCTCGTAAAGCCGGCAATAGCAGACGAGCCGACGATGGGGCAGCGCCATGTTGGGTTTCTTGCCGACGATCGTCGCCTGGACCTTCATCACCTGCGTGACGTGATCTGAGCCGGGCTTGAACTCGTTGGCCTTGACTCGCTCGTAAATGCCCACGAGAATGTCCTTGTCGATGTCGCCGCAGTCGTCGATGCCGCGTAGGTTCTTCATGAAGTCCTCGACGCGCATGCGACGCTCGGGCTTGAGGTTCGGTGTGTGGAGGTCCGTGTTGAGCATGATGATGGCGAACGCGAGAACGAAGACCGTGTCCGGGGAGCGGAGTCTCGACACCACCTCGGGATTGCACTGGCAATAGCGCTGACTGAACACCTCCATCAGTCGCTCGATCTTCTGTGCCTCGCCGGGCATGCGGAAGTAGGCCTGGAACTTTCTCAACGCCACGTCCACCTGGCAAGAGCGCCAACGATTAGAGGAAATGTAAAAGAGGAGCGCGTGTAAGTGTGAAGTTGCGAAATACGAGATGCGTCGTTGGAGGCCAAAGTGACGTAGACTAGATGATTATTATTAGCACTAGCGATTATTAAGCATTAGAGGGATAAAGGACAGGAGGGCGCTAATCCACAGCGACCGACGCGACTAGCCTTTATAAGTTGCAATTTGCAATTTGAAATTTGCAATTTGAAATTTGCAATTTGAAATTTGAAATTTGAAATTTGAAATTTGAAATTCGCAATTTGCAAAAGCAATCGCTCGATTGGTAAAGCCTGCGTTACGCATAATAACATTCGTGACGTGATGACACAGGAGAACGGCCGTGTATATGAAAATCGCAATCGAAACATAAGCGCCGAGGATTGGAAATGACGAAGAACGGCAGGTTATTTGCAAGCTGCTACTTATCAGCTTAAAATTGCAAGCTTATTTTCTCCAACTTTCTACTCTCATGTTCGTTCATAAATATAATTTTGAACAATTATTTTTATAGACATGTCGTTTTCAAGTATCGCGGGAATAATTAAGTCAAACAAAGCCGATTGCCAATCCAACGGATTATCATGACCAATATCGTGTTAAATTAAATGTTACATTAAATAAAAATGACATTATAGGGCTTTTAACGGGATTTGTCACAAGTTTTTGACATTTCATTCGGAATTAGATGAATTTGCCGCTAGTCACGACGTGATATCTTCGGATTCTGATAATTTTCCGCTCTCGGTGCATCGCCCGAGATATTATGGGCTTCTAAAGAGGCTAGTAGGCGCGCCCTCGGAAATCGGAGAAAGCCGCGATAAAGTGACGTAAGTGCGTCATCGGCGTGAATCAACGTTGATGTTTTCAGCAAGAAAGATAAGGTAAGATTACCTGCATTCCCGCCAAGTCCAATTCGTGGGAGAAACACTCGAGCACGGCCATGTTGAAGGAGCTCTGGAGATTGCCGAGGTACTCGCCAATCATCTGCTTGGAAAGGCCCTTCCGGCTGATAAGGAAGCGCGCGACGCCCTGGGGCGAGTTTTCGAGGAAGCCACGTCGTATGAGATAGTTGATGCCGCGCTCGGGCTTCTTGTTAAATAGATTCAGGCCCACGCGATACTGGCGCTTGCGCACCGTCTCCGAGACCTTGTAGCTCGTCTGGGACATAGTCTCGGCGTGATCCATCATGGGCAACTGATAGCTCGAGGAAGCGTGCGAGTGTCCGAGGTCCTTTGCGCTGTTTAGCATAGCGCCGCTATCGTTGGCGTGGACCATCTCTTGATGTTCCGGTGAGCTCGACTGTGAGGTGAAAGAAAGCGATTTTGAATTATTTTTTACGTCTTAAGATACCACCTGATGCGCGCGACTAGCAAAACTCGCTTAGGACAATAATGCTTGATCGAGGCAATGCACATACACATAGACTTTGGCGAGGACTGTTATCACGTTGACATACTAGCGGAAGCCCGGGTGGCTCAATATCGAAATTTCACCGTATACAGGCACTTTCGCGCACAAGCACTTTATTGCCTATGGAAAGTGCTTGGCTAATTAGATGCGAGCGAGAAGTTAAGCAGCTAAGGTCTAATATCGTTTTATCATTATTTCGAATCTTCAAATCTTCTTCAAACGTTCATCGTCTTTTTTAACCATTCGTATATAATATTCAATCATTCAATAAATAAATATATATATATATATATATATATATCAAACCTATTGCTAACATTACGAATACGAATTGAGACTGAATACTTTTATTGAAAAATAGTAAAATTACTCTTCTCCGCTCCCCCTCCCACCGCCACCACCACCACCACCACCCCCCTCCCGTACCGTTGTAATGATATTAGAAAACCTAGTCAAAAGAGATTAGCTTAAACAATTCCGTCGATTTAAAGAAATGATTATGATCAACTTCGAGATCACGCCCTGACTTACGGAGCCGAATAACAGCCTCCCAAGTTAAAGAAATTTTGCACAACATTGCGTCGAGCATATTAATAAATTATTAAATTAAAGCAATGATTCCTCGGTACATCCATCTTAAGCTCGCCTCTCATGATAAAACGACACGCATAATAAATAATAATAATATCATATATAAATCATAATAAACATAATAAATCGAACGAATGGGAAATCTTTCGCTATCGAATATTTATACCTCAGCACCCCCCCCCCCCCGGCGATCCCACCTATTCTCAGCGTCCCGCCCCCCCCACCGCTCCGGTTCGCCCCCCCCCCCAAAATCGGATTCGAAAAAACTTTTTAATCACGAAACCAAGACGTTGGCGCCTATGAAAGTTAATGTCGCGTCATCGCAACGTACGTACAGGCCTGACAATTAATAACGAGGATATCCATCCTACCCGAGCTCCGTACCGTGCTTTAATTTAAATATTATTTGTTTACGCCCGGAGCACACGAGGAGGCCGAATAAACTCCCGACACTCACGATTGGCTTGTGCTTCCACACGGGCGATGCCCTCTGCGCGTCACCCTCGGAACTCTCGCAATTGGTCGAGTCGCTGCCGGAGCTCTGGACCGAGCTGAGGCTCCCGTTCTCCACGCTCTTGCTGAGGCCGTTGTGCCTCTGCTCCATGGACCTCGAGGTGATGGAGGATGTCCTCTTG